CCCAGATAAGCAAAGGTTACCACCAGACACACAATCAAGCAGTAAACAAATGCTAATCAAGGAACTACCAGAGAAGCACAACAAAACCCCACCCTTACCAGCACTGGCAAGGCAGGCCACAGCACATAAACAGAGAGCAGACCCCATCCCATTTTAGCACTGAAGATATTACCTAGCCAGGTAATGAGTATAATGTGTAAGCCAAATCCATGTCATCCAAATCTAGGAACCTGACTTTGGTGGGTCTTTACAAGCCAAGATCATAAGCTTCCTTTTGGTTTACAAAGGAATGTGTTCACAGCAAACCAGGATTTTTTAGAATCCTGATATTATGTTATAAGCATATGCAACAAAGGATTGGGCTCATACATTGTGCTGAGCCATGATTCATTTAATCACGGCTTGTTGAATAAGTCACACATCACAGTTGGCTAGTTCTATGCCACACAGTAAGCCATAAAACCTGGCTCACAACTCAGAATGGCTGAGTTCACACAACCAACCACACTGAAACCAAATAAATGACATTATGGCTTAGTACAACACATTTATGGGTCAGCTGAGATCTCTGAAGCAGACAGGCTGTCAGAATTGCGCACTGATGATGCTCCCTTTTCTCCCTTAACTCTTGCCTGTAGGCCAAGAGAAGCTCCTGAAGGACCTCCTGTTGCTTCCGGTGAGGATTGATACTCTGAGCGTTCAAACCCGACGGGTTTCTTTAGAGAAGAAGCTGTCACAGATTGAAGAGGCGCTCAAAATCTTCTCCCGGCCCAAAGTCTTCATCAAGTTGGACTCCTAGGCACAGAGGTGATGTTGTGCTTGGCCCCTTCATCCTCTTGCACTCAGTCAGGTGGCTTTGGTTTCTCACATGGTGGTCCCCTCGATGTAGGTTTCTCTTGTTCTTGCTGTAAGCACTGATTCTTTTTGGTGTGAGGAAGCAAACCTGTGTGTCTTGTTCAGGCATGGGGAACCTATAATCATCCAGGCGGTGATAGCCCAGACCTAGGACGATGAAAGCTGGAATCCAACAGCTTATGATGGGCCAGAAGAGTTGTTTCCCAAATAAACCTCCTTAAGCATGTCTTATTTTTCAGACAAAGGGGAAAGAGTGTTTTTTAAAAAAGGGAAAAGTACACATTTTCTCAGCTGACAAGTATACTCAGCAGTTCTGCAAGCTTAGAGGAATGTGTACATTTTTAACTTAAATGATTGGACAATTTTAAACAAATAAAGCAGGTTTTGTAAGCAATCTTGTAAGCCGGAAGTTGTGAGGGCCTTCATGAGCAATTCTGAAGGAACTTCAATGTTGGTGTCAATCTTTTTTTTTTCCAGTGCATCAGTCTCCTTTAATTTGAATAGTGGTCCTGCAAATCTCAGTTACAGTGATTTTCTCCTTTGAAAGAACTTTCAAAAGTACATTCTTTTGCAACTTGAATGAGAACTGGTGGGGGGTGGGGAAGCAGAATTTCTCAGTTTCTGATGAGTTGTATTGACCTTTGTTGATCTGGTTTGTGCTGCCATCTACTGGTAGACCCAGTAAATGTCTGAAGAAGCTTCACTGCTAATCAAGGACTGAAACAAACCAAGTTTATTCTGAGGTTAGTGCCCTCGGCCAGTCTGGCATAAGCCACCCATTACAATTTCTGCTTACACCAGGCAAGGTTTGGAATCAAGAGAACCTCTACATTGTCCAGGTAATCATATTCCAGTAAGTTATTTGGACATATTGAAACGATCAATGATTTACCCTAACTTGAGAGGTTAGTAATCAGCTTTAATTTCTTCACTAAAGCAGTTTTAATCTCTTCCTGTAATGCAGTAAGAGATGCTGTACTGTTCCATCTTGATCTCTCTGCCATCCTCAGCAAGATGTAAGTTTACCGCTAGGTGTATATTGCTAAGGCAGAAGAAACATCGAAACACAATGGCACCTGTTCCTGTAAATCAGAGATGAGCAACTTGCAGCCCCTAACCCAAAGCCTTGGGCACAGCTCCCAGCATCTTTCCAGACTTTGCCACTGAGTTGAGATGGACTTGGTCCCATTAGCAGAATAAGAGAACCTCAGTCTTCCAAGGGGGCCGTCAAGACTGTCACGGTTCCAGGCAATGGAATTTTTACTTGGGCAGCTGAAGATAAATGGTCGATGAACCTGGCACTGGACGAGGCATTTATGTGGGGTACTAACTTGTAAACATTTTAAATCCCACTCATTGGCTGTTATATCCTGGCTGCTTAATGGTTCTTTTCTGGAACATTGCTGGGCAGCAAGAACACTAGAAATGGTGGGATATGCATTACAGATAGAGATGATAGATATATATAGATGCTTGGCCCTACTTCACTTAGGTCTGGATGACTCCAAAGAGCAAGTATCCAAAACCTGCAGGCTGCGTCTGTTTGCTGGTTGAGCTTTAAAGTGAACAAGAGGAATCTGTGTGTCTGTAATCTAAAACAGTAAATTAAGTTTCTGCGTGACCAGTCACTCAGGTGCAATTAAGCCTGCTGTACGAAAGCAGCAGCACTGGCTTGCTGGGATCAATAATTTTGGCTTAAAAGCATCGGTATGTCTCTTCTTCAGGTTTTGTTTTTTTTCTTTTGCTGGAGGAGATTTAAGCAAATGTGTTGTGACCATTTCCTAATCATTAATGAAAAGACAGCAGAAAGACATTCAGCAAGGTAGGGAGACTTTCACCTCGCGAAGACTCATACATACATCAAACATAATATATACATCAAGATCTGGCACCTTAATGAGAAAGAAGTTAGTTTCCCAACCTGGTGCCCTCCAGAGACATGGAACTACAACTCCATAGTCAGGCGGATGGCTGACTTACAAGATCAGTCTTTAAAGTGCTAGAAGATTCTCTGTTGTTACTGCAAACCAACCTGGCTTCCCTTCTAGAAACTGAAAATAAAAGCCACAGTTTAGCCCATGGAAGCAATTCCCCTGATTCATCTACTGCCCTGCCATACATACACACAATTCCTACCAGCAGGCATTTAGTATCATCCCGGGGGAAAAAGACCCTCTTGGCAGAATCTTCATTGGTGTGGTATTAGCATAAGCCACGTACCTGGTATTATCTCATGCAGATTTCTTTGCTCACTTTCACTGAAGCCCTGGGAGTAATCTTTGCTCATGGGGGAGGGGCTTTTTCCTGGGCAGACTTCAACTCCCAGAATTTTCCAGCCACCATGCTGGCTGGGGAATTCTGGGAGTTGAAGTCCACCCATCTTCAAGTTGCCAAGGATGAGAAACACTGCCATAGAGACTGAGGAAGGGGCAGTTGCTGGGGTGCCCCCACTCCGCTGAACTTGCCAGGCTACCAATTCAAATGGACAGAGGCACCCCTCTCCCAGACAGCCAGAGCAGCTTCTCTCTCTCTGGACAGTTTCCTTTCTGTTGTCTCCTTTTCCTAGCCCTTACTTAAGCACGTTACTTAAAAAAAATAAAACAATGTGAAAGAGCACTTCTAAAAAAAAAAAGCCATGGTTTAATAGTCTGTTGCAATATATTAATCTGTGACACATGTCATCATAAAAACACCTAAAATCAAACACTTCATGAGAAGTCAGGGGAGGCAGGGCTTGGGGGCGAATGAGATAAGTCCCCTCTTGGTTTCCAGGAATTACAGGTAGGGGCTGAAGAGAAAAAGGGGAAAGGAACAGGAGGCCCAACTCTTTAGCTCCCTGGAAACAGAAAGGAGTCTCTGGGGCAGCCAAGATCTGGGGGAAGGTGGACTGGTCCCTCTCACTCCAACTGCTGCTGTCATCTTCATTGCAGGAAGCACCATTGGAGCGTGATGGTGGCGCGCATGTCCGGGTCAGCGAGGGCAACCCTCGGGTTCCAATCTCTAGATTTGATTGCCAATGGCCAGGGATGGGGCCCTTCCAAACTGACCTCAGAAACACTGTGTTTCAAGTAGAACGGGACGGAGAGACGATTGTACCAAAGGCTATAGTGTGATGACGGTGCCGTCCTCCTGGAGGCTGCCTGCCCGGCTGCCCCGGATGGGGCTCCCGCTGCCACTGTGACTGTTCAGAGAGGGCAGCGAGCCTTGAGAGCTATAGAGGGACAGGCTGTGCTGTAGGCTGTCAAGGAGACCCCCGTTGGGGCAGCTGGCAGGCAAGTCACTCTCAATGACCAGGTCTCCCTCTTCATCGCTCTCCCCCTCTGCTGTGCTACAGTTGCTCAGATACTGGGAAGCTGGGCTGGGCGTCTGCTGGCTGGGTGTGCTGTCTGTGGACATGCCGGAGCTCCCCGAAGCCTTGCTGCTGCGGATCACGTTATTGCGTTGATTGGCTGGCTTGACGGTGATGATGAGATTGTGGCTATTGGCCACCATCATGTCAGTGACCTGGTCCAGTGACTTGCCTGCCACATCAATGCCATTGACCTCTAGGATTTCATCGTTCACAGCCAGCAGTCCAGTGCTCTCTGCCAGGCCTCCCTTGACCAAGCGGGAGATGAAGATGCCAGGCACCTTCTCAACACCATGAGGGGCCACTCGCACACTGACCCCATCCCGGATATAAAAGCCCAGGGGCTTGTTGGACCCATGTTTATGTAGCCGCACACGCCGGTGGGTCTCGGGCAAGATGTCCACATCAATGATGGAAGAGATCTGGCGGAAGTCCTGGGGCATTCCGATCAGCAAGTGTGGCTTGGCCCGCTGATGCGCTGGCCTCAGCAGTCCCTTTTTCTTCCGCTGCAGTGAGTTGGAGGCAAAGACGCTGGCATTGGCTTCTGCTGCAAGGAAAGAAAAACAAGCAGGTGTCACATGTGCAACTTCTCTTTTCCAGCTATCAGTATCCTTCAGTTCCACCTCCTGGTTTGCTGGGCTCCTTGCTGGCTTTTCCCTATTAATGATAGTTGCCTCCTACGTCACTTTTCTCGGCACAGATCCCAAATCCATGGCTTTCCAGCCACATACCCCTCCCATGTGTGGTGTGTGTGTGTGTGCACGTATATTTGTAGACACATACCCACTCTATCCATTTAAGAACGATGTTACCTGTCTCTCCCTTTAGCCACCCACCAATATTAGGTGCCAACCACTGGATTTCCATCTCTTGATGCACCCTTTTTCAACCATACATGTCTTCATGTTGCCAAGTGTCAGGCCTAGCCCAAGGAACTCCAAGAGACCAAATTCAGTCCAGCTATGTTTATTAGCTACAACCTCTAGCAAGAATCTTCTCAGACTAAAAGCCCAGTTCCCAAAGTCCTCCAGCCACAACAGTGTGAATTCCTCAGGGAGGTGTCAGTCTCATCCTCTTGTTCCTCCCAC